ACCGGAAGTATTGATCCGTCGATCAGTGGCTTTATGTTGGGATTCGGTTGCTTCAGATGAAGACTCGCCGGAATCATCTGGTTTTCAAACGCGATCAACACTTTGGCCAAAGAGCACATTCCCGAAGAGGCCTCCGAGTGTCCTAAGTTGGTCCTCACGCTTCCCACAATCAGTGGATCTGATCTGAAGTTTTGATTATGAAATGTTTGTCAATTCACGCAATTTTCTCACCGTTTCTTTGCGTAGACTTTATAAATGGCGTTCATTTCGTTTTGATCGCTCAAAGAAGTGCTCATTCCGTGCGCCTCCACGTACTTAACCCACTCTACGTCTACTCCACACTCTTTCAATGTTGTCTCCATTAGTTCCGATTGTGATCGCGAAGACTGAGTGTCCGTCTCTTTGTTTCCGTCGGAATTAGTCTTCGCGTGAATAACAGTGGCGTAGACTCGACGCGCGTGACTGCGCTTCTGGAGTACGAGTGCCGACACTGTCTCAGAGCGCGCGTATCCGTCGGCCGACGCGTCCAAGAATTTGCATTTTCCGTCATTTGAGAGGAATTTGTGGACTTCAAGCGCAGAATTTGACGCTTCTGGAGTACGAGTGCCGACACTGTCTCAGAGCGCGCGTATCCGTCGGCCGACGCGTCCAAGAATTTGCATTTTCCGTCATTTGAGAGGATTAATTTGTGGACTTCAAGCGCAGAATTTGGCCGAAGATTGACATTAACTCCGCCAACAATTGCCATTTGAAAGTCATTTGCGCGCAAACCTGCGAACGCCAGTTGGAGGCCAACCATCGATGAACTGCACGCACTGTCCACTGATAGAGACGGTCCGCGCAGATCAAAGGTGTTGGACACCTGATTGGACAGCATATGGCGTTTGGTTCCCAAAACACCAAAGTTGGTGATAGACTTTGGATCAGTTGACAGACTCTCTTCAGTCTCGGCTGAAGACACGCCGACAAATACAGCGGTGTTTGTGCCCCGAAGTGCTCTCGGATTCCAGCCTTTAATGAAACCAATTTTAATGCAAAATATAATTTAATTCAATGCAAACCCGAGTCCACAATCGCTTCGTGCGTCACTTCCAAAAGTAGTCTCAACTGGGGATCCATTGAATCCGATTGTCTTCCGTTGAATACAAAAAACTGAGCGTCAAATTTGTCCAAAGATTTCAATTTCCCGCTTCGAGTCGGCAATCCATACAAACCCGTCGGCCATCGCCTCGCATCTTCGGTAATGAGATCTTTGTTTGCAAACAAATTATCTCTCAATTCGTCGATTGTGTCCGACTCTGGAAAACGACCCGAAAGGCCAGAGATGACAATATCGTCGTCATTGTCCACAAAATGTGTGTTTAAATTCATTTAAAAGTTTTGTCTTTTTTGTAATTTCTTTGATTTAAATGAAAAATTATTTTAAAGTTTTTTTGGTGATAAAAAATAAATAACAAATTCATTAATAATAGCAATAATTATATAATATTAATGAGGATATGAATTGAATATTAATGACAGGATTTGCAAATTGGGACGAAGACCCAAATTGCGGACAAATAAACAATTGTATTATTTTTATTTATTGTTTGCTTTTATTTGTAATTTTTATAATTCTGTAAATTGTATTTCAAAGTTCATAAAATATTTTTTTATAAATATTTTCACAGATTTAATAACAAAATTATTATTTTCAAGAATAGATTATCTTTTAATGGATTTTAAATATATTTATAGTTTATTAAAATAGTGTTCAGAAATTGTTTTAATTTGTGAAAAAGTTATTTAAATGATTTTTTTAAATTACAAAAATTATCAATCTTTAGATATTACAGTTAAACGTAAAACTATTTTTAATTCACATTTAATTATATAAAATGCAAAAGACTTGAAGTCAAAGAAAACCATTTGGTTTGAAATGAAATTAGTTATTAAAATAGCATTTCTTTAGTTATTAATAATAACTTATTATAGTTACTCTACTCTAGTTATATAATATATAACTCTAGTTAATTAATAGATATTTTCTATGAATTTACAACAAAATTGTTTTCTTCGATAAAATGCTTAAAAATGTGTCAAAAATACAAATTAATTACAAGTTTGGAAGAAATTAACAAAAAACAAAAACCATTCATTATTTTGTGTTTGCTTAAAACGTATTTAAAAATTGATCATGATATAAACTAAATCAAATGGTGCATGGTCAATTTGCAAACTTATTCAACTTTTTTCAAGTATCTGTAATATAATCAGTAGAGGAATGCATAGCAATGGGATTCGCAACGCATTCAAAGCGAAACAATTAATTATGCGATATATTAATGAACGAAACGCTTAAACGTATTGTTAATTGAAATCACAATTAATTGCAATCAAAGTCTAAATGAGAAAATATGTGAAATCGTTGTATAGTTTGAGCGCCACTTTGGGAACACATAAACAGATTCGACTGTATTTCATAACACATAAGACGTGACACATTTCACTTGTGGGCACTTTTCTGCACTCAAAACAGCGCTAACTCTATGCGAGTATTGCATACAAAGGGGCCAAATATGGGGCGAAAAGAGGCGTACGTTGTCTTTGAAGAGGTGTTTATAAATCGATTGAAAGCCATATTTGTATTGAAAGACAACTAAAACTCAGTTATTATTACGGATTGAATCAGTGGTGAGATATCGGCGCCAATTGGTCCACAAATGGACACTTTGGCCACTAATTTCGCGATGGCTTTGACGGCCAAAGACAACATCATTGAAGAGAAGCTGAAGGAAATCGAAGAACTGAAGCAAATGGTGGAAACACTGAAGAGGGAGAAGGAGGACGAGAGTCGAGACAAGACTCAACTCCAGACCCGATTGGATTCGCTCAACACTTCGGCCGACGACCACCACTTCGACCACACATTCACGTACGCCGAGGACAACACCGACTTCGACGAGTTCACCACAATCAGGAGATCCAGACGCAAGAGACGGCCCAAAAAGGTATGCATTCACTACTCTTTTGGCCGAAACGGTCTCTAATTTCCGTCTCAAACGCCGACAGCTAATGGACGTGTCGTCAGCGCCGAGTCGTGTGCCGTCGGCCCCAACGGGTGACCCGACAAACAACGGGCACCGGAAGAGAGGCCGACCCAGAGTTATAAAGACCGAAGCGATTGTCGCCGACGGCGGCGAACAAGAGTTGATTGACGGCGTGTTGGCCGCAGCGGACGGCACGACGATAGAGACTGACGCTGGCGGACAGTCGGCGCCGCAAAAGCGTAAATTCCCGCACCACTGCGATTGGCCCGGATGTGAGCGCTCTTTCCGCCGGTATTTCGCTTTGATTTGTGCCCAAAATGTGTGTCAATAATAGCATTTGGTGTTTAGGCCGGCGTTTCTTCGCAAACACAAACGCGTCCACACGGGAGAGAAGCCATTCAAGTGCCAATGGGAGGGCTGCGCGTTCGCCAGCGCCGACATCTTCTGTCTTCGCACTCATCAGATGAGACACACGGGAGAGAAACCCTACAAATGCAAAGTTAGCGGTTGTGGATGGAGTGGTCGCCAACAGACCAGTTATGATAGACACCGGCGAGTGATTCACGGCCAGCAGCGCATCTTCCAGTGTGATTGGCCGGGATGTGACCGCAGATATCGTGACAAACATTCGCTCAATTATCACCGCAAGTCACACACCGGCGAAAAGGAGTTCATGTGTTCGTTCCCCGAATGCGGCAAACGCTTCATCGGTCGCAGCGATATGAAGAAACACGAGAGCACTCACAACGCCATCAAGCCGTACAAGTGCTCGTGGCCCGGCTGTGGCCGCTCTTTCGTCCAGAAACGCTACCTTTCCCTTCACAACCTCAAGCACACAGGTATTGACGCGAACTGCGCTCATGTGGTCGTATTGTCGGCTAATCCATTGCATTGCAGGCGAGCGTCCGTTTCCCTGCGATTGGCCGGGATGTGAGTGGCGCTCATTCACGCCTCACGAACAGGCGAAGCACAAGAAAACACATACCGGAGAGCGACCCTATCCTTGCGAACGCTGCGATCGCCGCTTCGCCGACGAATCCAACCTAAAGGTGAGCCAATGCTGTGTTTGTGATTGTTGTGTAACGCGTTGTTGTCCTTCAGGCACACCTGCGGACAGTACACGAGGGCCAGAAGAACCATCAGTGCGCTTATCCCGGGTGTGGCAAGAAATACACAGTCAGACGGACACTACTCATACATCAGATGAAAGCGCACCCGAATATGGGTGTCATCACTGGTCACTCATTATCATCGGCAGCGACCGTCTCTTTGCTCGAAGTCGACGATTCGTCTCCCATTCAGACAATTATTGTCACAACAGATGAATGAATCGAGTTTTAAGACATTTATAGTTATTATAATATAATTATATTATAATTTGTGTAAAAAGACAAAGAATTTCAAATTTTCCACTTTCTATGAGTTTTCAAAATGAAAACATATTTTATTTGTATTTGTAATTTAATTATGAGTTCTTTATTGAATAAAATTAGAGTTTTTACAAATTGTTTGAAGTTTTTGCGAATAAAGCAATGGTTTTGAAGACATTTTTACAGAATAAAAGTTAATATCAAATAAAGTGTTAATATACACGTCTGGACACCACTATCATGGGTCTGTCAGGGTCTGTGTCTCATAAACCACTAATGCATCACCAAGCTGACTTCAGCGGCATATAGCCAGATATGTGACAAAATGACACATTAACAATTTTTATAAAATGTGCATGGTCATATGAATAATCTGAAGCCAAAGTGGACTTAATTTGCACAGAGCTTAACGTTAACTTAAAAATATTTTTATAAACAATACATACACCAAAATGATCAAAAATAAATTTATACGTGTCTCGGCAATTTTCTCATATTGAGAAAAATATAAGTGATAATGTGCGGAACATTGTTTACCGTGCTTATGATTTAAAATTTGTTTCATTTTAATGATTTATACATCAAATTAAATATTGAAAAATGTAGTTTTTTAGATTTGTAATATTTTGATTTTTTAAATTTTATATAATTTCTATGCTTCAAATGGAATAATTAAAATATTGTCCATGAGGGGACCCTGGACATTGTGGGGATTTGGTAAATTATGTTTAAAAATCAGAAAAATGTCCCGACATGGATCTATGTACGTGTGACTAACAATAGTATCACTTTAGCGGTTCCCGAGTAATCGCCATATTTTAAACAGCCTTATAAATAATCGTTGATTTATTAATTGATTGAAAAGTTTAATAACTTTTGAATTCATTAAATAATTGACAAAAAAAACTAAAGGGAAATATAGACAGGAATTTCACGTGTTTTGTTAACTTTTCGGTCGTTTAACTCATTTTGAGTTTCAAATTCTCGTTAAGGAAAAAATGCAATTATTGTCAAATGAAAGTCAATAAAACATCTCTTCCTATATTTAAAGCTTTATATAAACAGAAATAGTTTTGACAATAATTTTACAAAAACACTCGTTTATTCAACAAATGAATTAAAAATGTTTTGTCATTCAATGGATTGAGTCTTGGTTTCAATGAATGTTTCTCGACTCCCATTATAGCCAACTTTCTCTAATGTTTTGTTGACTTTCATTTGGGGGTCGGCTATAGTGAGAGTATTCGTGATTCAACGCAACCCATTAAACCTCAGTTCAACAAACTGTAAGAGTTTAATCTTTAATCCTTTAATCTTAAACTCTTTGTGATTTAAATCCATAAAAGCATGGATTTTGTTGTCGAAAACTTTCACTTGGATTCAGAACTTTTTAGAATGTGTTTAAATGAACGCATTTTGTGTTTTATAATAATTTCCATTCTTTTGCTTTCTTTTCACATAAAAACCACAAATTGTGAAAAAAGTGAAGAAAATGACAGAAATGTCGAAATTAACGCAGAAATGCAATCTCGCGGCACAACAACGGCCACCGATTTCGGTTCAATTTTCAGTCAATTCTGGAACTCTTTATACGTCAACCGAGGATTCAATTCGTCGTTTGTCTTACTTTTGCCGCTCTTTACGGTCACGATTCCCGGCTATGGACGCGGATTACAGCATCAAACGCCGCTCTCAGCGCTCAATATAGGTTTGCTTACAACCAATTCGTTGTTTAAATGTTGACTTGAAATGTATTTTCAGGCAATTTATCGATATTCGGGATAATATTGTTCGGAAGCATAGCGCTCTGGTCTCCCATTCTCTTTCCAGATTTTTATCCACAAAACGGGCGCCATTTCCGCGCATTTCCACAATTGGAAACAATTCCCGACTTTTTAGGCAAACGTTTATTGGAATTAACGGAAAGAATAATCGGAAAAGTTCTCGACATTGAAGACAAAGAGATAAAAGTTCAAAACTTTGTAAAAAGTCGTTTTCAACTATCGATCGATTATTTAATGAGTGTTTTGGACATAATTTTGGACCAAATTCCTCAATACGAAGGACTGTCTCCACGAGAATGTCTGAAACTCGGTGTTTGTGAATCTCATAAATACAAGAAGCGATTCGGAGTTTTCGGACGAATCTTGAGATTCTTGTTTCTGTGAGTTTTTTATGCAATTATTCTTTCATTAGATTTACGGTTCATTTGTTCAGTCCTTACGGAAACTCAGCGAAAGACGCGAAGAATAGATCGACATATCGTTTGGCAGCGAATTATGGACTCAAAGACAAGTCAATTGAATGCAAACAACGTTACAACAAATGCGACATTAATTTCGCACATTTGGCGCACAATTTGTTTGAATTCTTGTTTTGAAAGCTTTTTGGAAAATATTTTAAGAAAATGTAATTTAAAAATAATTGTAATTAAAGTGTTGTAAAGTTTATTAAAATATAATTCATGTGTTTAAATGTGTTTTGAGTGATGACCGCACGGCGAGTGACTAATGGTCAGTGATTATTGGAAGTAGTGGTCAAATGACTGCTTATTGCTATTAGTGGTAGAAATGGTAATGAATGCTAACAATGCAGTGATTCACAGCATTATTCAATACTCTTAGACTTGATATGTTAGCATTAAATGACTCGTCGATTGCGGACTCGAATCGCGACAATTAAATGCATTGAATAATCACTAAATATTCAATTTTTGATTCCAAAGTGCATTCAAAACCCCATTTGTGTCCAAATTGTGAATAAATAATAATCGGATTCTTGTTATCAAAATTTATTCATCTGTTTATATATTAAAATTCATTCATTTAATTAAAATTCGGTTAACGTATAAAATCGTTAATAAAAGTGTTTAAAGTCTTTGCGCCACAAATCCAAAACAATTGCGTTCAAATCAAACTCATTGTCGCGCAAGTGATCGGCGAACGACTGGACGAGTGCCTCGTGAG